GAAAACAAGAAGGAGGTGAGAAGGGGGTCCCCCAGAACCCAGGGGGGTTGGGGAGGTGTTTTGGGGTGACCGGACCCCCAAACCCCGGGCGCAGTGGGAGAAGGAGCTGGGCAGTGCTGCCTGCCCAGGGGAAGGAGTTACGGGGGCGCGTGGTGGCCTGGCTGCCCGGGGTCTCGGGGGGCCGGGGCACTGGGGGACGTGTTTGCCTCGCTCTTCGCCAGTGAGCGCTCGGGGCCCCACGCCCCGGTCGCAGAGCGTGAGGGCAGGGACGGGGAGGGCAAAGAACTGCCCACTGCAGGAGAGGAGGTCAGGTTCAAGACCATCGGAGGACCCTGAGGGTGCACGAGTCCGTGGGTCCCGAGGGCAGATAAAGCTGCTAAGCCACTCTCTGGTGTATTTGAGAAGTCGTGGCGGTCCAGTGAAGCTTCCGCTGACTGGAAAAGGGGAAACGTAACCCCCATTTTTAAAAAGGGGAAAAAGGAAGACCTGGGGAAGTACAGGCCAGTCAGCCTCGCTTCTGTGCTGGGAAGATCATGGAGCAGATCCTCCTGGAAACTGTGCTGAGGCACGTGGAAACCAAGGAAGCGATGGGTGACGGCCAGCGTGGCTTCACTGAGGGCAAATTGGGCCTGCTAAATTTGGTGGTCGCCTACGACGGGATTACGGCGTTGGTGGGTAAGGAAAGAGCAACTGATGTCTTCTGCCTGGAGTTGTGCAAAGCATCGGACGCTGTCCTGCACGACATCCTTGTCTCTAAACTGGGGAGACAGGGATTCGACAGCTGGGCCGCTCAGTGGGCGAGGAACTGGCTGGGTGGTCGCACGCAGAGATTGGCGGTCAATGGCTCGATGCCCAAGTGGAGATCAGCGAGGAGTGGCGTTCCTCGGGTTGGTACGGCGACTGGCGCTGTTTAACAGCTTTGTCGGCGACACGGACGGCGAGATTGAGCACGTTTGCCGACGACACCAAGCTGCGTGGTGCGGTCGACCTGCGGGAGGGCAGGGCTGCCACCCAGAGGGACCTTGGCAGGCCGGAGGGGTGGGCCCCTGCAAACCTCCTGGAGTCCGACAAGGCTGAGCGCAAGGTGCTGCACGTGGGCCGGGGCAACCCCGCGCACAAACACGGGCTGGGCGGAGAATGGATTGGAGCAGCCCCGAGGAGGAGGACTTGGGGGCCTTGGTTGATGAGAAGCTCAACGCGACCTGGCCGTGTGCACTCACAGCCCAGAAAGCCACCTGAATCCTGGGCTGCGTCAGAAGCGGTGTGGCCAGCGGGGCGAGGGAGGGGATTCTCCCCCTCTGCTCCCTTCTCATGAGACCCCACCTGGAGCGCTGCCTCCAGCTCTGGGGCCCCCGGCGTAGGGACACAGACCTGTCGGAGTGGGGCCAGAGGCCACGAAGAGGACAAGGGGCTGGAGCCCCTCTGTGCGGGGACAGGCTGAGAGCTGGGGAAGAGAAGACTGCGGGGAGGCCTCACAGCAGCCTTCCAGTCTGGAGGGGGCCTGCGGGAAAGCGGAGGGGACTTTACAAGGGAGCAGAGCAGTGGGACAGGGGACGGCCGCAGACGGGAAGAGGGCGGATTTAGATCGGACACAAGGAAGAAATCCTTCATCGTGAGGGTGGTGAGGCACGGGAATGGGCTGCCTGGAGAAGCTGTGGATGCCTCATCCCTGGAAGTGTTTCTGTGACTCCGTAGGGCAGGTTTTGGGGTGCTGGGGGGGGGGTTCCAGGCAGGTTTCGGAGTGCCAGAGGGGATGTTAGGGTGACCCGTCCCCCCCCAAACCCCAGGCGCAGCGGGAGAAGGAGCTGGGCAATGCTGCCTACAAGCGGAAGGAGTTCCCCACCGCCCTGGCTCACTACACCCGTGCCGAGGAGCTGGACCCCACCAACATGACCTACGTCACCAACCAGGCAGGCGAGTGCCCCCCAAAATCCCCTGAGCCCCCCAAATCCTCCGAGCCCCCCCAAATCCTCCTGAACCCCGTTCCCTCTTCCCTACAGCCGTCTACTTCGAGACAGGCGACTACAACCGCTGCAGAGAGCTGTGTGAAAAAGCCATTGAGGTGGGGCGGGAGAACCGGGAGGACTACAGGCAGATCGCTAAGTGAGTACAGGGGGATTTGGGGGCTGAAAAAGGGGAGTACACCCCCAGCACCCCCAAACCTCCCCCCATACCCCAAAATTCACCCCCACAGGGCGTATGCTCGCATTGGGAACTCATATCTGCGGGAGGAGCGGTACAAAGACGCCGTGAACTTCTACAATAAGTCGTTAGCTGAGCATCGCACGCCTGACGTGCTCAAGAAGTGTCAGCAGGTGACTTGGGGGGGCTTGGGGGGGTCAAAAAAAGGGGTGCAGTCCCCCTGGACCCCCCCAAACCCCAACT